TTCCGTGGTTTCTCTCCAATATAACGCGTGTAGTTCCGTGGTTTCTCTCCAATATAACGCGTTTATATATATATATAGTTCCGTGGTTTCTCTCCAATACATAACGCGTGTATATATATATAGTTCCGTGGTTTCTCTCCAATATAACGCGTGTATATATATATATAGTTCCGTGGTTTCTCTCCAATATAACGCGTGTATATATATAGTTCCGTGGTTTCTCTGCAATATAACGGGTGTAGTTCCGTGGTTTCTCTCCAACATCACGAGGATAACCACGTAGATTTTTTCAACTATAACGCGTGTAATCTAGTGGTTTCTCCAATATTACATGACACAGGTACTCTCGTAATTAATCCACGAGATAACACGGATACTCTCGAGGATTAACGGCAGGATTACTCGGGAACTCTCTTGGTTTCTCTCCGTGAAAATGAACATTCTCGCAGTTTTTCTTCGAGGTAACGCGAGCATATCGCTGTTTATTCTGCGAAAACTGAGTTAACTCGGCTCACCGAAGATATATGGGCAATACTATATTATCAATTAACTTACTCGAAGATAATTCGGCATTATTCGAGATAGAAAAGTTGATACTGCTAAGCGCTCTAACATTCTAAATGTTTGACAGGCCGACCACGTAGTTATGATAATGGCATACATTATGCATAGGTCGCTGTCTGTGTTTATTCACGAAACGTATTACACTGTATAATTTACCTTCCCAATAGGGACGTGCGAATAATTATGTTACAGCTATATTTGGACCTGAACGGAAGTGTTCAGAGTTATTTTACATACTTGGTGAGTTTAGATCAACTTTCGGTAAAATGCTAGATACCATTATTGGGGTAGCAATTTTACAGGAACTTGAACTTGACCCATAAAACGCGTAATATTACCCTAAACACCTCGGTTTTGGTACAAATGTAGCTGTAACAAGTCCACACGTCCCTATAACCTGCCCTTTAGTGTTAGGCGGTTTATATTCTACCTTACCTGTCCACTTAAATAGTTTTCTTCAAATCGCCGTATTTCCTTGACGTGTGTTTCAGTTTGACATACTGCGAAAGAGCAAATACGTCATAATACTAACGATATTTCTATTATGACTTAAGTTTATCAACTTCATAAATTAATCACTCATGTTGACCATGATGGAAACACGCAGAGTGTACATTCTAACGTGAGAGAAAACCGGAGTGTCCGGAGAAAACCCAGGTGGTCAGGTTGGTATAACTCCATACCCTTTCACTTCCGATTGAGAAATCGAACGCCGGTCGTCTTGGTTAAAGTTCGCTAACAACTGTGCCACCCGTTCACCTCAATATCTCGCAAACTCCGTGGCATCTTTATGGCATATAGAGCTGAGGGATCATTGACCCCTAGGTGTTGGTTAAGGCATTGTCAATGTAACTTGAAACGTTTGGAGTATGAGCTCGTCATACCACGTCAACGACAAGACAAACTATGAATATTTAAATAGAACGGAAGGCAAACAAGCAATTCTACGAGACAATTACCGCACTGTGAGGTTTATGAAAATGCATGTTGACGTAGAAATGATATTTGTATAAATGATGTGGCCGAGTTATACATATGTCTGACGTTCTTGTAAGGTATTAATAACGTATGTCCTGGTTACACATATAAAGTAATAATTGTCTAAAAAAATAGCGAGTTTTTGGTTCATTATATATATACAAATAATAGACAGAAGAACTGGACACTAGATTCTAGCCATCTGCATGGTTCGTCCGATACAGTTTTGTCAGCAATGAAAAAAACACACATAAAAACATGTTTTATTGAATTCAGAATAAACTTGTTGTTTATAATTTCTGTTTTTAACTCTTCGGTATCACATTATAATATGTATGCATTCCCACCCTCTGTGTTTTTCTCGTTATATCTAGAATCTATTAATGTAATACTGTAACGATTTGTACCTTACGACCCTGGACTAATTTGTATTAATTGACCGTAAGTAATTAACAACACGTAGTACTTACCTAAGTTCTACAGACGTAAGCTCCAGCTTACTGTCCCTCTGTCCTCCGTTTTCATTATTCCAGTGTGGCATCTTGCTGGATTAACTTCAAACAGGACTTTAAATAATTCCAAATATGCGATGACAAAATCAATTAATGTTAATTACTATGTGGGTATGGATTCAACAACGATTTTACAGAGGAATTCACGCACCAATCCTCCAGAACAAGCCCTCGTAATAGATAACTTTACGTGCACCTGACTGTCATTGTTTGGCAGAATCTCATGATTTTTTCCTAAAAATTGACCTGCCCACACCAGGCCGCGCTCCGTACAAAGGGGACTTTATCCTGTTCCGTCTAAGACATCACCGTACAGCGCTGCCGTGACCTTTGACCTGAATGATACACGCCCCTTGCTCTTAAATTTGAAGCTATAATAAGAAGACTTGCATTGACGTCACGTTCGCTATAGACATTATATTACGGCCTATATAATAAATGCGTTGTTGATTATTTAAGTGAAACGCGTTGTCTGTCAGTTTTGTTCCAGTTATAATACTCCACCTACATGTCGTATCTTAAAGCTAAAAACACTTCACATCTATGCTTCAAAGCTTCATTCCCGGAGAAATAATCAAGCGGGATGGTTATGACAGAATTATATAGCAGTACTAATGACACAATGCTCTCTATATATCAGTATGGTTAGCTTTATTGGTACGCTCAGTTTTAACGAGCCGACTATTCCTATCTGTTCTAGAACTACGGTAACACTCTAGCATCTCTTCTTTATACGTACACCTACTAATCACCTCGGCTGACACACACGACTCTATCAAGTAGATAGACACTTTATAAATCATTTCACGATGCTAACTATCTATGTTAATTTTTCTCGCGAAGTCTCGATCTGTTCCCGCACTTTCACGCTCTATGAACGAGAACAAGCTGATTGTGGCCTAGTTGTTTCTACGGCCCAGTTCTACCAACAGTTATAATTGGGGATTTTGTCCAGCTTCATACCTCCTTAAACAGCCCGCGTGTTACAGAAACTAGCAGTGGTGGATACAAGTTTTATTCGAACTTTAGGCCATTGACCCATCAGTATACAATACATATTATACACAAATCAGGGACAATGTACAGAGAATGAAGACAATCATATTCCATTATAATACCCTTAATTTGTTTGCCTCATAAATGAATTTTCCTAGTATCAGGGATGTGTAGTGGACCACTACACATCCCTGCTAGTATACACAATCTTTAATATTATGGACACTCAATAACTGGACGACTTTAAACACAGATGTTTTTTTCCAATAATAGCTTTTGATAAAACGTGATCTGAGATTTTGGAATTTAGAACATACTTATAAAAAATGAAATTCGTCCTCTACATCAGAGGGGGAGTTACACTGTTTACAATATCTACGTTTTCTAGGTATATTATTATGCCTTCCAACTTCTACAGCCAAATTATGTGTAGATGTACGGATTCGAGTTAAACAAATGCGATATTTCATTGGTATGTATTTTGTGAGGTAAAATTGTAATGATTCTCTAAAACCTATGATATTTTTATGCAATAAACATTTTGGAGAGTTTTCCACTGAGGCCTTTAGGGATTGTATTCTTTGATAAAACATTCTTTGTTTTATCAATGGTAATAACACATTTTGCAGAGAAATACATGAATTTAACCAAACATCACTAAGACCTAGATTATCTAATTCATCTCTTACTGCTTTAGCCCAGTTGAAATCATTTTTACTGCAATATTGTAATAAAAATCTATAGGAAGTGGATATGATACAATTTTAAGATTTTAAGATCTTAAACCAATATTTCATCATTCTAATTTTTCTCATCCAAACTAGAAGTAATTATATAATCGTCCCAATTCAAGAGGTGTCGTCTCACGAAGCATACATTTGGTATTTTCCTATATACAATGTACAGGTACAAGGTGTTGGATGTATGCTAGGTGAGACTTGGTGTCAGATAGAGAACAATATGATTTAATTAAAGGTAAACTATAGTCTGTACTATAAAGTGTCTTACCATGTGAATATGAACGTATACATAGGATTGATTTTTGGTATACAATTTTATTTATTTATAAAATTGTTTCCACTTCATCTATTATAGTCTTCATCATAATAATAGAGAATATCAGATTAAATGTCTTAACTTTACATATTATTACAATACAATACAATTTGTTTTATTTAAGTGTCACATATCGATATACATTACAACTACAGCAGATTTTACAAAAAGTAAAAGCTACATGTATTTCAAAATTTAAATCGATCAGTTATCGACATCCAGCCAAATCTGGCTTATGAGAAACTAAAAGTCATTATCACACCTTAAAATAAGTAAAATCACTAGCACTGTACATACTTATATAAAGTTAAACATAGGCACCTGCGATACATATGATATAAAGCAGCGTCTAAAGTCGATCTTGTAAAGGTGTACCTGGACCAGAATACCGACCGGTTTCGACTTTTAACTTAAATTTGTGTACACGGCATTGCCAACTTCTCCGTTTTCCTTTTGACCACTAATGTATTTTATAGACTAGTATATCGTGAGCGGTTCCATTAATCCTTAACTCATTGACCCCTGAAGACACATTTGAACCCTTCCAAATCAAAGGATGGAAAAGTTCATTATGAAATTTCAGGTGTGAATGAGTTAACCAGAGCCTACAGACCTCCACTTTCTGTTCAACGTTTCACAGGAACTCAACCAAGATCGCCACTTGTGGCAACATTGGTCGCATTTCTTCCGGTATCGAAGAAGTAGCGGCACGCTTTATTATTATTTCTTCAAAAATATATAAGTTCAGCCCGAGTTACTAGTATTTCATTAATATAATGTAATCATTTAAAATGACAACGAGGGGTTATTTCACGTTAACTGTACATCATAGTGTGCACATTACTCCATTATTTATGCAGTATGATGGTAAACACATATTCAAAGTAGTTTCATTAAAATATTATTATTCCGTCTATACCACATGCCTACGGTGCTATTAACCAACACTTTATGACGGTATATGGTACAAATTGTTTTCTTCAATGTTATCTTACGAAGTATATTCCTGTAAAGTATAGAATACATGTATGTCTCAGTAGATTAAATACTTCTTTGCATTCATTGAGACTGAAAGAAAAAGAAACGTTCCTTCAGAACAAAGACATTGTAAGCAATGTACCTCCACAGACATGAAAGATGTTTAGTGTCAAAAATAGTAAACAGTTACATTCTCTATACATCGTTTTTTTATACATCATGTACCACATATATGGGCCAATAGCCAAAGCTTTGAATAAATGTTGACAATATTGACATTTGTGATATTATGATAAGTGAAAATTATAATTATTTTTCCTATCTACAGTGTATGCCCACACAAAATCAGCTTGAGATTGAAATGTTGCAGACATAACTATAAAAAAAAGGAAATATAAAAACAACATTCAGTCAACTGTTATCGTATCAGTTGAAATTTATAGACAATGCATTACAGAATTTTAAATAATCTTTGATATTAAGATTAGTTAATGAGGCTTTACTTAATCAACAATAATTTAAGATTTTAATAATATGCAGGCGGCTAGTACTGTACTTGTTATAATATATGTAAAATAGTTATTATTTTCAGGTTAAATAAATGTATCTATTTTTTTTTTAATATTCATATTTCATCTACTACCACGTGTCACTATAATTCTTTACAAAGAAAATGGAATATTTCTCTGATTAAAGTAGACATAAGTTCTTAATTATAATATGTAATACAATACCATCTACATCATTTTGAAACAGACTTTAACCAAATTGTGATCAGGTGTGAAAATTGAAATGTATGCTAGGTGAGACTAGGTATTTTAGAAATGCATGCTAGACTAAACCATTCAAGATGTACCATATTGTTATTGGTCGATTTATTCACTTTTAGTAATTTCTTACACAAATGTAAATGTACATGTTCAATCTCTGGAGCTTTGTGCATACACCAAATTTCACTTGTATAAAAAGGATACTGCTTACATATGTATGGGAAAGGTGCAGTGTTGTTTTTACATTTAAGTTTAATGATGAGCACTTTGAAAATAATGCAAACATAGCTTTTCGTCCTTGGATAGCTAATTGTTTTTGGATAGAAGTGAATTCATTATTGTATTCTAGAATAACACCTAGGTAAGGAAATTGATCCACACATTCGATTTTTCTTCCTTTGTAATACCATTTTTCATCATTATGTAATCTTCCACCTTTTCTAAAAGCTACAATTTCTGGGGGTTTTCCGCATTTACAGTTAAATTACATTTTGTAGAGTATTCAAAAAGGTTGTCAAGAAGAGCCGGTAGGTACTGTACAGATTCCGAAAAAATAACCAAACCATCTGCGTACATTAACAGAAACACGTAGTCGTAATACAGTATGTTGCACCGTTTTCAATAGAGGACATTTCAAAATCATTGATAAAAAGTGAAAACAGTAATGGTAACAAAATTTCCCCCTGCAATAAACTGACATTGTTTTCAAAAAGGTTACAGCGTTTCCCATCAATGGAAACACAGGATTTGACTGATTTATAAAGCGACTTAATAACAGACTTAATAACAGACCCTGCCCTACACGCCACTGGGCGTACAGGGCAGTAAGGTAAGGTTAATAACAGACAACATTTTTCCTCGAATACCAAGCCTAGTCAACTTGCGCCATAAGCTTAACCTGTCGACAAAATCAAACGCTTTGCGAAAGTCCACAAAGCAGCAGTACAAACGTTTCTTCGAAGATAAAGTTTTCGTTATAATAGAATGTAATTCGAAAATTGCATCAATCGTTTTAAGTTCCGGATGAAATCCGAATTGTGCATCAGTAATAAGATCATATTTTGTACACACATCTAAAATACGTGTATTTAGTACAGAGGTAAAAAGTTAACAAAGACAGCTAATTAAACAAATACCTCTAAAGTTAGTAGGGTCATTTAAAACACCTTTCTTATGGACAGGAATAATCATGGCCGATGACCAATTAGAAGGAAAATAACCAGAGGCGGAAATCCTTTTTTCTGTGTCCAAAAATAATCAGGACCAAGGTTTTTGAAGATTTTCCTTTATTTCAAATGGGATTTCCTTTTTAAATCAATCATCCCTTGAACTATGATTTTCTATGGCTTCCCATTGCCTATGCCTAAGGGTGTTGTCCAAACAATGAGTCCACTGCTTATACTCTAAACAATAGGGGATTAATCCTTTATTGTCTATATATATATATTAGTAGGGTCTCCAGTCAGGTCAGTTGTCAAGGCTCACCGAACTGATCACCAGAAGTATACCAATTAGAACATATAAATTTCAAACATTTCAAAGACAATACAGCACGATCAGGTGAATACTATCCAATGTTAGCATACAAGACTAGCATGTATATCCTTTTCAATAGGTGTTGCCCTTGTACATATGTATGCGTACAAATTCACAATAAAAGACAAACGGTTAAATCATAATTCATATATATGACAACATAAATCAATATTTAATTGCCAAAATGCTCGTCTAAACTACATGCACATGAATTCGAAAGGCATGACACAAACATCAACATTTTAACAGAAAACCTACATTTTTACCATTGTTTTAGAGAATTTGTTAACACTCGCTCCGCTCGGCCATCATAAAATTTGAATACTCTATGTTATAAAATATAACTTGGAATAATACCGCAAACTCAGAAAACTATTCTATACCTCACTCGATCTGTTTGACCACAGAATTGCCATCTAAATCCGTGGTATTATATCTTCAGAAGAAAAAATAATAATTCCTGAGTCCCCCCTGATTAAACAACGTAGATTAAGTTGGAAGAAGTAATTCCTCGCCAACTTTTAAACATTCATTTAACAAACCATCAGGTCCATGTGATTTACCACAGTTCAATTTCTGAATAGCATTTTTTTTTTACTTCTTGTAACGAAATAGGAGCATCTAAATCCTCAAAAACAGTGTCATTATCAGTAAGACTAAAGTCGTCATGATGGACGGGATCATTATCTTGTTTTAAAACATGTCTGTGATGTCATCTATTGTTATTGCATGAAGTATAGTCGAGACAAATCTACTATTATCACCTACTACTGTGGAATAGTTACCCTTTTCTGTGGAATAGTTTGTAACTTTTCCAAGAACTATTCCACAGTTGAAGGTGTAAATAAAGATATAAGAAGACATCAAATTGTAACAGTTAGTTGTTTTAACAGTTAGTTGTTTTAACAGTTAGTTGTTTTAACAGTTAGTTGTTTTAACAGTTAGTTGTTTTAACAGTTAGTTGTTTTAACAGTTAGTTGTTTTAACAGTTAGTTGTTTTAACAGTTAGTTGTTTTAACAGTTAGTTGTTTTAACAGTTAGTTGTTTTAACAGTTAGTTGTTTTAACAGTTAGTTGTTTTAACAGTTAGTTGTTTTAACAGTTAGTTGTTTTAACAGTTAGTTGTTTTAACAGTTAGTTGTTTTAACAGTTAGTTGTTTTAACAGTTAGTTGTTTTAATTAGAAAAAAAATATTGAATGGGAAAAAACACTTAATTGATCAATATATCCATAATCCATCAGGAAACTCACATTTAATAAATCCAGAAAGGGCAGATAACTATATTATCATTACATGTACTTTTGTCATACTTTAACAAGCTCATAGCCATTGTGTCCGCGGGAGTGTTATCACCATGGAAGGAAAGTTTTAATTTCTCATTGGAATTTCACCAAAATTTGCAAATCTCCAGACTGAATATTTATTTCTTTGCCTGGCGAATTATTTACAGAATCATTAACACTTGTGCATTTTAATCCACTTTCTTCGGTTTTTCACACCAAACTGCAAGATATCACTAAATCTCTCTAACTGATTTTGGCTGGTACGTGTGTATCCTCTGACAGCTAGAGACCTGTGGCCATTTTTTTCCGATTATAAGTTGCGCATCTGTATCTGTTATAAATCTTCCTAAATTTGCATCAAGATCTTTTTCAGACATAAAAGTTCCCCTTTCATTTCTTGCACATTTTGATCTGTTACATTGTACAGCTTTTTTGTTTCTATCAGCCTTCCAGGCCTCAAAAAGACGGACGGTCCCATCTGATTTTGCCACGGTGTTTTTTGAGGCGGCATCCTTCAGAAGGCTTCCGATTCTATTATCATCCGAAGTCTGAAACTTAGGGTTAATATTTTGTTTCTCCAATTTTTGCTCGGCTTCCTGCGTTACCTTAAGAAGTTTCTTTTCCGAATCACTTGCATTTGATATGTCCGAAAAAACACACACTTTTGAGGTCAAAATTAGTGTTAGTTTTCGTTTGTGTGAGAAAAATGTCATTATCACTAGTACTACATGTACATGTAGAGTCCTCCATGTTGACCAGTGAAAACTAAACTGATTAAATGTTTCAATAGAAGCACCATGGTGCCTGTGAAACATTCACAAATTTCATGTAAACATGATCTTTATAATGAGGGTAAACAAGTGAATAGGTCTCAGAGAGTAACAGGTAAGGGCTTACCTGGAACAGTGGAATAGTTGAACAATACACTGTGTAATAGTCAAGGAGTGGAAGTTTTATGATGCCATGTTTTAAGTATGAGAAACACCTCAAACTGTCGAATAGTCAAGATAATGCATAGTTCTCGACCCTAACGGGCCTAACGGGCCTCGAACTATCCATTATCTTGACTTTTCCACAGTTTTCGGTGTTTCTCCTATACGTACAGAAGATATGTTTTTGAAATGATTGTACAGTTGATTACCATTAAACACTGGTGTTTCCTTCTGCGCTCAAATATTGCCTCTTAAACTTACTTTCCAGGGCTTATCTTCGGAACATTTTTTCACAGATACCTATCTGGGGAGGGCTTCAAAAAGGGGGGGGGGGGGCAGATGTAGTAGAACTTTTTTTTAAAGGAAATTGAATGGTGCAGGCAATTTCCTGAAAGCTTATAAACCCCATTGAATTTGTCAATAAATAGTGTATACATACTGTTGCTATGTACTACTTAGCAGACATATATATGCGTTCTATACGTTTCTGATACTAATGATTAGATCTTTACGTGTTGTTAAGATCGATAAACATCTTATCTAACGAATTTCCGAGACAGTTGACGTTGATCCATGTTAAGTATATATTTTATTTCATGTTTATTGACAGTTTTGATGATACAGTGTTCTGCCTGCATAGAATATAACCAATTATAAAAAGAGTAGTATACAAAAAGAATTGTTCAAGCTTTGCATTCTGGAAAATAAAAGCAAGGAAAAACATTAAATAACCCTTCGGAATGTGTGTAAAAGGTCAGGATCGTCACACTTATAAAACCAATTATAAATAACAATAATAATTCGACGTTATTATATTTAAGGATTAACTTGAATATGTTTTTCATATTATGGAGACACAGCTACCATTCAACAATTCTAGCAATGTCCAACCACGTACTCATTTACAGCTGAGTAGACTTGAACAAGCGGAGTAAAGTATCTTGCTCAAAGATACAACACAGTGCCGTACCATGACTCGAACTCGCAACCCTTCGGTCACGAACCCGGCGTCCTTCCACTAGACTACCGTGACTCCAAAAAGGGAGATTTGAAAAGTGTCGTGCAGGCTTTGTATTGTCACGGAATTAGATGTTATCTAAGTCCGTGGTATTGTGGAGAACATTACCGTAGGTCAGGAAAACATTAAAATAAGCCTTTCGGAATGTGTGTAAATGTTAGGATCGATGTAGTCCGTATCTTTATTATTCGAGTGTACAGTTTGAGACTGAGGACTCGATAGACTATCGACAATGAGGCCAGAGATATGACGCCGGGCTCGTGACCGAGGGGATGTGTGTTCAAGTCACGACGCGGCACTGTGTTGTATCTTTGAGCAAGATACTTTACTCCGCTGGAGTACGTGGTTTGGCAGTGCTAGATTGTTCAATGCTAGCTGTGAGCGCCGAAATGGCAGCTCCGGCTGTATGCTCCCCGGGAAGTTGAGAGAGATGTGTGTTGGTTGCAAAGGCCCTATAACCACGGATACTAATTTGTGAACCACTTTGAGACGACTTACGAACTAGGTTGTGATAAAGCGGTTTATAAGAACTCGAATTATTATTATAAGACTATATATATATAGCTATCCTGGTATCCTGTCCTAGTCACTCGAACAACCTTGTAGTAATTAACGAAAGTTGAAACACCTCGCGGGAACTAGCTTCACCTGTAACGCAAACTGTTATAGCATCCATATTAAGACAAATACATCAAAGTCGACCGTCACGCCATTCACCTATAGCTATCAGTCAGAAATTTGTTTTCGCCAAACAAAATCTCCTTTTAAGATGCGCAGAAGAGCATCTCCGTAATAAAGTAACTAGAGTTACACCCCTTGCGTATGAGGCATGCGAACACAACCTTCTGCTTTTTAATATATATATATATATCGACAGGACTTTTAAAACGCTTCTTTTTCAAATCAATTCTGATACCAAGGGGATCATTCAACATTTTCTCTCAAATAATTGTTCTAAAATTTCCTTTAATGCATATTTTGCTAATTAAAGTAATGTTTTTGTGATTCAAATGTTGTTTGGTTAGAAAAGGGAATTTACTCAAAGAAATCCGGAACGACAATTCTAGGTAGTTATTGATGTTAATCGATTAAAAAAATACAAATTTTTTTTTTTTCATTATTTTGTACATTTTCAGACGATAAATGTGAAAAGCGACACTCACAGGGGCCTGTTCGTTTATGAATGCGGAACCGGTACGTCCGTTTTCAAATGTAACTTTTTCGGGTGTAAATCCTGGCGGACCTGCAAAAGTTTATGCAGGCCTTGCAAGGCTTGGTAAAAGCACCATCAGATTACTGGGTCCGACCTTATTTCATAAACGAACAACTCTGGTCGAACCGGTTTAACCGTTTGGACCGAGATAGACGAAAACGGCCCGACGTACTGTTCGAAGGGAAGTAACTCGAGTTAGTTTCGAAATCATCATAATACAGGATTGTCTTGTGTACGTAAGTTTTATTTAAAATGATAACGACATATCATCAACTACAGATTCGATAGCATATGGTATACTCAAATGAATATTCACTATTAATAATAACATTTAAAATTAGATAAAGCTAGACCTTCCCTTATATAAAGCTACAATATCTGCTATATATACATATACTGTAATGGACATAAAACAATATAACTTTGAAGTTATAACCTTTATTTACATCTTTGTGATGTACAGTTAAATCTCTATAGCTAGGATATGACAAGGGGCCTGTTCATTCATGCTGGCAAACCGATTAGTTTGTTTTTAATGGATATTTCAGGGATACCGCATGACGGACATGTAGATGCAGACTTTCGAGGTCGTTGTCAAGGCTCGCTAACAACATCAAATCACTACAGGTCTGTCTTACTTTTTCATAATTTATATACTCTGGTCCAATCGGTTAAACCGTTTGAAACGGGAAAATGGCCAAGGCATATCGGGATTATACACCGAACTGAATACTGTTAGTAAACAAATAGTTAAAACATTGTTACATTATTGGAGACCTTACGGAAACAAATTAAAACGGCACTGGATCTAACAGTATAGTTCATGGTTATACAGCTGGTAGGAAGTCAAAGGGCAATAACTCTTACACAAGTTTATAATTATTGTTCGAATTCTTTTGAATCAGGAGTTAAGCTTTTAGTTGGGTTTAGAAATTTAAAGAAGAAATACGTGAAAACGGACAAATGAATAATAGGTTGAAAAGTATAGAAATGAACGAGTAGGGTAAATGATGGGAAAGAGGCTTCCCGCGTAAGGCTACATGTTGTAAGAGAGACTAAACCCACAAAAAGATGTTGGGAACTAAATAAGTTGAACCTTAAAGAAACTACCTTGAACCAACTCCCCTCCCCGAACACACATCAAACTAATTTATCTTAAGACACAGTATTAGCCGGTATTAAGATTGAAGTTGCTTGTCGTGTGGCTCTACACTATACGTTTGTCTAGTGATACGTTTCTTTAGACAACGTATTAGCCAGTATTAAGATTGAAGTTGCTTGTCGTGTGGCTCTACACTATAAGTTTTTCTAGTGATACGTTTCTTTGCCATACTGAGAATTGTAAGCATGATATCGACACAGAAAACCACAATCGCCAAAATCATTATCATATATACAAAGGCGATACCGCCAAAATGATCGTAAGCATGTCCACCTAATTTCAGAAAAGCAAGACCCCCAAATGAGCTTCCTAGGAGAACCCATGTGATGGCTAGTCCTGTCAATTCAATGTGAAGGTCACCCCATGCGATCCCCGACGGGAAAATGGGCCCTATGAAAAATCCGGACATTCCCGTTAACACCCAAAGTGCTGTTTGGGAATAAGTTCCGACGGTGAACAGACCTACACTGACGCCGACCAAGCAGACAGATTCTATGACAAGGAGAATCTTCACACTAATCCACCTGGCGGACACGAACCCTACAAACCTACCTACAGCGTAGAAGATCCAATACAATGTGTTTAGGTAGCTGGCGTCATCATTGCTGAAATGAAGTTGATCGATGGAATACGACCTGATAAAGGTCGAAAACACCCTGTCAACAGCAAGGTAGACGAAATATTTCAGAAACAATGTTACTAGAATCAGGGAGCCGAAACAGAAGCTGCCCTCAGCACAGGATGCAGGGTTTAGCATCTCCCGCCATTTTCTAGTTCTCGTAAGTTTTTGTTCGCTGTTTTCTGTTTTGCCTTTCTTGTGTTTGAAACGTGGAGATGTTTTACATTGATACATGTAAAGAACACCAGCCATCACGATGGTCAGACCAGCAACACTACCGTACGCATATTCTATTGTGGAAGGGGAGATAATAACTGTTGTGGTCGTAGTAGGAATGGAGATAGTAGACATCAGCATCACGGAGATGTTTGAAACAGATGAGTTGGTTATATTAGGTCCAACGGTCTCGGTGTTAGCAAGGAATGGATTAGCTATAAGAGGAGCGATAAATCCGCCCACGCCGTAACCAAGGTGAACAATGTGTATCGGAGAGGCTGCCTTTTCCTTCCAACTGACTAACACTATTCTCTGTCCAGCTAAAAATGTAAAGAAGATCAGTTAAGATGACATGACGGATGGATACACGATATTGACTATGTTAGGCGCCATGGATTTATCCGATAGATTACAGTGTTATGTTCATGTTATACATTGTTTGGCTGAGACATTTAATACCGTTTGGATTAATTGCGCCATCTGACTCGCATAGTGCAGACTGAACGCTTGGCTGATTTTTGTTTGGTTCACAAAACATGTTCTTCAAAATACAAACATGGTTTTGGAATTAAAAAGAAACTATGATTGTACATATCGAAATGGCGTTGCTCTACTCGCTTCGTGACACCTCTCGTTACACATAAAATCATATCACACGATATCTTATACATTAAATATAGCTCATAACGATTATGTGATCCGCAGCTGTCACTAGAGTAACAAGGCGTCACATATTAACACGGTATTCCAGTCGATATTGGATTGGGCGTGTAATGCACACGAATGCTATCGAAACATTGCAGGATAAGGCATTACATACACATGTCGTTTCCCGTTCAACGATAAACACAGTTTTCACAATGGATAAAAGATTCAAAGAAAATTACGTTAAACATTAATAAAAAATGCCTTGTTATTATCGCTAATAACATTAGTTATATTGAATTGTTAATTCCTGTAGTCGGGTGAGGTAGTGGATAGGGTACTCCCCTTTCACCAAGACGGCCGAGGTTCGATTCCCCAATCGGACTTAAAAAGGTATAGTGTCACCTGCTCTACCCCTTGGGGTTTTCACCAGGTTATCTGGTTTCCTCAAACATTAAGACCCTCTACGCGCATGGATCCTGGCCAAAAAGCTTGATTCATGTAAGTTGAGCGAACTTCTTTCATAATTGTAAAATATATATTAGGTTTTATTTACATTATATAACCGTCTCACCAATGTCAATGGTCCCGATGGTGATGCCAAGCAGGAAATAGAAGACCCATAGAACCTCGGTTTGGTTAATCCACGGCACAATGGCCACTGCTGTCGCAGCTACCGTAAGCGATAGAGCAAGGAAGAGATCACAGTAACGTCCGAACCGATCAGTTAGCAATCCCCCAATCACTACACCAACAAATTTGCCAACACTTCGACCGGATAGAGCACTCGTGATATCCTCGTAGCTACTTCCGGTTCTTAGAACTAAGTCTTTCAATGTTGGACCATTTATTTCCATATATATTCCCTGTAATACACCGGACACAGAATTTTAGAGAAAGCTATGGATATTTTCCTTTTGTCCATGTGATTATTATTTTTTCCATAGAATCATCTTTTTTTTTTTTGATATTCCTAATTAATGTACGACCCTATAATTGCATCTTGAACATGTGCTATGCTGTTTCGCTGAAGGGTTACAGAAATTAATATTGTTACAAAGTAATTAAATTACATACCATTGCTATCCATACACATACTAGCGCCATGGTCCTCATAACTTTACTGCACGTCGCTTCCTCGCCGTTTTCATCCTTTTCGTTCTCAGCGGCAATCCTTTCATCTGACTGGCTGACCTTATTTCGGGCTGGTAGATTTCCTGGCGGTGTTATTGTCTTCAACTCCGCCATGTTTCATAACCGAACACTGCAATAAAGTATATGACACTGAGTTGTACGGATACTAGCAGTAACATGTACTGTATTCGATCTTTAAAGAGTTGGCAATCTTTGTAAAAAAAATGTATGATTAAATATCAGGTTAAATACGTTGTTAGATACAAAAATGCCTTCAACAGTTCAGTTTTATTTTTGAATTAAAATGCCTTTAAAATAACAACGATCACAATCGAATTCTTAAAGCAAAGAGTTACTGAAATGGCAGGATGACGGGATATCCCAGGGGAAGTGGGGCGCTATCCTTGACAATACAGAATGCTGAAGTTTGAAGCCCTGTAGAATCGTGGGTTTTTAATTTGTGTCTTTTGCTACGGGATATTGAAGAAACTAAAATCAAACTGCTGCGCCCCCTGCAAGACTTGGGAACTGTATTATTAAAAGTTCTTTTTACACAACCAATAACATGTTCTATGTGACGTGTCGATGACTAGTACGATATGTACACTGTTACCTTCATCAGACAAATGACCATTGAAGCGTATGCACACAAAGGTGTAAAATACATGTACGAGTTGTCAACATAATCGATGTCGATTCGGCTACGCTGTAAGCGAATGTACAATAGTTGTTATATATGTACCGAAATGACTCGATTCAGCTACGCTTGATCAGTGACAGTGTTTTTTGATTATTGCTTTTATATTTGTAGAATTATTGCTTGAAATAGTATACGTATTCCAGTGACAGTGTTTTTTTGCATTATGGCGTTCAAGAATGTTTTGGACTGATGGATTCGACTTTGAAGTGCATTTCTGAATTGATAACATTAAACAAGTTATCCCGAGGTCTTATATCTTTTTATCAATACACATATACTTTCCTACCGTACAAACTTATTGAAATGATAACTAAGTGCATCGTGACAAAATTGATGATGCGATCCTAGTTACGCTGCATTATGTGATGACACGGTGGTCACGCTTTCAGAATAATATCGCTCGTGAGAGGGTAAAGGATTCTACCAATGTTTTTTATCAGCAAAAACGGGAACGCCCTTGTAAAGTGCAGGAAAATAGTTCTTGTTGTAAAATATACAAATTTTAGTGTTTTATAACCACTTCCTCAATACCTTTCATATTTATGGAAAATCTCAAACCATTTCCTTTTTCATATGATTTTCCTGAAAAAAACCTTCCGCCAGTTTCAAAAACGTCCTATATAATGAGAACGTCTTTCGGATTCATTTAACATAACAATATGTTTCTTTCTGTTAGTATCCCCCTCAGTTACCATGGACTACGACTTATTTACTAACCGTAGACATGGCCTGGCCAATATCAACTACCTTCCTCCCGATGATCTTTATCTTTTCGCATTCGTTAATCAAGTAGCCAAATAATTGCGACTTAGGAACGAATACCATGCGACTTAATTTTATTTTTAATTTACGAACAGCTACAATACTACAGGGGTATCAGCGTTTCAGTTGAAAAACGGAATGGAATGAAAACGCAATAAAAAAAACAAATACGCAACGAGAACAGAATACAAACAAAAAGAAGCAATGCCTAAATGGAACGGAACGAAGATAATGTCACTGCCTGGAACCAGGCTTTTTTCACAGGAACGGAATGGATAGAAAGTAGGCGAAATGGCACGCGAGGAATGGCTGCAAACGAAATGGAATGAAACGGTCTGGGTTCGACAGAAGATAAACTATTCGAATCGATATTTCTGTTGTTATCTATAGCGGCTAGCTACGATCAATTTGCAGTAGAAAATAATGTTAAGTAAATGAATACACATTTGCATTTTCCATATCTATGGTTTCTAGCCCATATCAGCGACGCATAATTTATTAACTGTCTGTGAATAGTTTCGCCAAGTGATCTCGGTAGGCTGTTCGTGGTTAAAATAATGAAGGACGTACCTCCACTTGACGATTTCACAAAGCATCCAATACATATCAGGGATGTACATATTATCATCTCAAGGTTCTTTAATGAATTCGGTACATGCCCAAGCAAATAATCTATCGGTGAGGTCTGGTCAAATAATACGAATAATAATAATGAGTAGCTCGCTATCCAGTGCGTGCAGGAGTATGCATTTACGTCTAATACTGCGCATCACTTATTGTATACGCTTGTGCACAGAGGTGCTAGGTAAAGGATGTATAGGTACAGCATATATCAATACGTACGTTATTGAAACAATCTAAGGGTATAGTTCGATACTAGCCCTATAAATTGCCAGCGCAGCTTTCACAATCTAAAATGCGGACAAAAATATTGAAGCTATAAGATCAAAAGCATGTTTGTTTATATTAATCTTTTAATGCATGCCAGTCAATCAGAAAATGTTCTTCGTCTTTTATTGCAATATCAAATCATATAGCAATGGCAGATATTACCGAGTAGCTGTTCAACTTTTGTCTGTGCAGTTAAATATTCACAGTCTTGTAAATGTTAATTCGGCCAGACTGTCAAGGGTTTGTCTTAACTTCAGACTGAATAAGATAAGTTCCAATCTTACAGATGTGTATTTCATTGTAATCCATCTCTAATAAGTTTAATTACGATTTGTTATATTGAGCTAATTTAGTGTTATTTTTAATATGCAATTGTTGGAACAATAATTAATATTGATGTGCCAGGGTGGTTACCGGATGCTGAACATTTTTAACAATGAGGACAATACATACACATAATGTAAATAAAAAATGAAGATATAGGTGAATGCTCCAACGCGCAACTCCTCTATGGGATGACGCAAATCTTCAATGACAAACAAATGTCAATATCAAACCTGCTGTATTGTCATTCATAAAATATAATAAAAAGGTTTGAAGACATATAGTAGCCCAACTGTTTGCAACTACCCCTAACTTTAAGACAGAAGGACGAATACGATAATTAGGCTTGACATAAGATAATCTTAAAGAATGAAATGAAACTCATCCTCGATATCTCCAAGATCACATAAAGTACATAATCACTGGTTTCGAGTCACTGCATAACTATATCTACCTGTCTCTATATTAAGGTTATGTGTTTGCAATCTATAGTTCGTAAGAATACATTTGTTTTTTTCTAGATAAAAATGGTCATGTTTATGCAACAAACTTTTTGAAGATGTCTCGAATGTGTTTTTCATTTCCCGAATAATTATATTCATTATCCTTAGTATACATGATAATAAAAACATATTTCTCAATTGGTACATATTGTGCCAACCACACCTTTCCAAAACGCAACATTCACAAATCATGTCTCAGATGATAAATCTAATTTGCTTTACAATTTGGTTTCCTGTTATAAAGCTCTAATAGTTTATCGTAACAGGCCCTCACACCATAGTTTCCGGTCTTCAATATGTGCAGTCAGTACTTACGACTTATATACTGCGACGGAAACTGCACGAAGTGAATCCTGAGAATGGAATGCATGAAAACGCGAATGAAAACGCAACGAAAACGCAAAAGCTTTCACCTGAAGCGCTGACACCCTGTAACTATGACATCATATTAAGGTGCTAATATATCATGACTATTGCCTTGATTGAAGGCAAAGAGCACGACGCTATTTTATCAATGTAAATTGACATGTTTTGTTTCAATAATTATGTCAAAAACAATGTTAGATGAAACACTATAATCAAATTGTTATGTGTTTACACTGTGTATATTTCGGCTCAAAAGGTACAACTACACAGGCAGCATACGAACACTGATATTGAACCTGAACTTGTTACGGTACGACCACAATAAAACATTAGTCAAAACGTGAAAAAAAGTAAATAAAATTGCGTTAATTTGAATAAGAAATGGAGGCTGCGTACTTACGTTACAGAAGGGCAGCAGTGTTCTTACACTATTATGTTAAGATATGCGGACACATGCAAACCCGCAGCCTCCTTAAAACACTTGATAACAGCACACGTGACTGTGTAGATTTATTGACAGGCTACATAGGTACTAAGAAATGACAGTTTCATACATTCCATATTGGCAGAGATAATGGCCTATATGTGTCAAGCAACAGGTGTCTGCAATAGATGATCTAATATATTCGAAATACACTTCTGAAAAGTCTCAGCAATCAAATGAAGTTATATAGGAGAAAGCTATGTAAATGATCTGATGTCGATCATAGCGAGGTCCATTGAGCTGCATTTGTTGCGCTAATATAAGTTAATAAGGAAATGTCGTAGCTTATAAAGTTTTATTTCTAGACCATTAAGCTGGTGTAACTTAGTAGTACCGAGTCCAGCTGTTTGTTTATCAAACACGACCTGACCACCCACCTACGTGGTACTTTGAAGAAAGCCGACTGATAGCAGGTACATGTACAATACTTTAGATTCAAACGACGCCGCTATTTATCCTGAACACGTAAGTTGTTATTATAAATGTAAAGATATCAAATGGTACAGTGTTATAAGGTTTGAGATTCAAATCACACACATGTTTTTTCTACCTTGATATTAAGATTATTAAACTGTGATTTGACTTTATCTGTCATATGTTGTGTAACATACTGACAGTTTAGTAAACGGGGTCCCTGTTCGATGATTTTATTGTTCACGGTGGAGGAAATAGCATTGGTCAACAAGTAAGTGTGGTTAAGAAGTGTATAAATGTAATACATCAAACACTCCAAGACAAGACAAGTATGTTTGAAATGTGCGTTTTGTTTTCAAATATTGCATAAATATGTTAATTGTATCCCCTCATAGTTAATAATGTCCGGATTTCGCTGAAACATTTTTTTTTTTCAATTAATGATATAATTATGGGGATTTCAATCCGTCCGACTACCATTCGTTGCTTTAATATCGGTATATAATGTAAACGTAAATATCCTGATTTTCACTTGTTTATCATGACAATGTATTAATAATAATAATAATAATAATAATAATAATAAACAGCATTTATATAGCGCCCTATATAATTTGTAAAATTACTCTAATGCGCTTTACAACATATGGATAATAGTAATGGTTATAATTGTGAAAACAAACAACAAAGCTTGCAATCACTTTCATACATTTAACAAGCAATGTGCACACAATTGAACAAATAAAAGGGTGGTATTTACATGACGTCTTTGCAAAGATTCTAAAATACAGACGTGAAGAGGTGAGTTTTTATGTCCCTCTTTAACTTGACCAGGGTATTCGACTTCCTAATAGCAGATAGTATGCTATTCTACAACGTAGCCGAAACCCTCCCAAAGCATCTGTTTCCGTAGGTCACAGTGCGAGATTTTGGGACACACAACAAAGATTCTGACTCCGACCGCAGTGATCTTGACGGCTGATACAGGGTAACAAGTTCCTGTAGGTACTGAGGAGCTGTTCCATTCAGTGCCTTGTATGTGTATACCAGAATTTTGTACTGCGACCTGTATCGTACAGGTAACCAGTGCAACGAATAAAGCGCAGGTGTGATGTGCTCTCTCTTTCGAGTACGAGTAACTGCAGTGTTCTGAACCCTCTGCAGACGACTAGCTAGTTTGTCAGATATACCACAGAGCAGGGCGTTACCATAATCCAACCGAGAGGTAACAAATGAATGCACCAAAATCTTGCATGCATCTGCAGTTAGAAACTGCCGAATACAGCCGATGTTCCTGATCTGGTAGTAACAAGATTTGGCAAAAGCGTTCACTTGTTTCTCCATGTTCAGAGAACTGTCAAAGTATACCCCTAGGTTTTAACAGCTGGAACAGTCTCAATAGTTCTGGCACCAACCTTGAGCTGTAGAGCCATTGTTTGCTGACACTTTGGGGAAAAGACGATTAGTTCCGTCTTTTCCTGATTAAGTTTAAGAATGTTGGCTTTCATCCAAATACTGATATCTGTCAGACAAGCTTCCAGACTTTCTGAGACTTTATTCCAATTGGCAAACAATACACGTATAAATGTGTTATATACTTACCGGATGCGAGGTTTTTAAAAGAACACGTTTTTCATGAGACAACTCAGTCTCATCGAGCTTTATTTGAGGTATACTGTTTGTTATGTAGAGTTCGTTCCCAATTCTCCATCAGAATATGAAAAAAGATGGAAAAAGTTATTACAGCAAAAGATAGACAGCAAAAAATTGGCAACTTGCTCTTGGCCTTACCATTGTTCACTGGTAACCGGATGTCATATCGTGAGTTACGCTTCACCTGCGCCATATTGGATATACGGTTTGCTGCATTCAATAATCCTGTCGTGTTCAAAACATAATTATGCCATAAGAAAACATCGAAAATCAACGTAATATTAAGATTTCCATGCGGTTTGGGAGTGCTACATTGAATGTAAACTTGAATGATTAAGTTTAGAAAACACCAAACATCGAAAGATTGCACATCGTGGCTGTTTTTATATATCGGGAATGATTCTGGTTTCATGAGAACACAAACTCCGTTTTTGTTCTTTAGACAATTTCAAAAAGGTCTTCAGAAACTCATTATTTGATAATATTTCTAACCAGCTTTTTAAAATGAGGTTTTTACAATACTTGCAAAGATCAATAATTTATCTCTGAAAATACGGGTTTTTCAAGAATAAACAAATTAAAATGGCGGCTTTGATGTGTGAGGGTTATTTTTCATGACACATTGGAACACGAACTCCTTTTTAATTCACCATTCAATTTCAAAAATAATTTCAGATATTAATTATTTGATAATTTTATCGTCACCAGGATCAATAAGCTGTCAAAACAAACACTCTTAGATCAGGTTCCGCGTGATTGCACAGCAGCAACACAAGTCTCGCGATGTTTCTAATTCGACTGCCTGAACAATACAATCATGCGTGTTTTTGCGAGATCCGCGTGAATTGCCAATCTCTGAAATATACGTCTCTGGTTATGGTACATAATATATACATCATTTGATATAGCGCCCCATCTAGCTAAAATAAGCCACTCTAAAGCGCCTTAAAGTCTACAATTAATACAATTAGCATATACATTAATCAATACAATTTTGAGGAATTCGCATGAGCTGCTTTATCAGACGCTAACTACACTACTAGTCATATGCAACATGGCTAATATCTCCCTATGTGTGGGACCGTGCTTCCAACGGTATCATTTATAGTGCCACCTCACTTGAATGCTACAGCACAGATACCGTAACATCCACCACACCTGGGTTGTAGGTGTTGTGGTTAGTTATGGTCAGAAAGCCAAGATTGACCCTCATGATAGTAGCTTTTATAATGTTAACGATTGAGGCTGCTTTCTTTTCTTGGTAAATTTATATTTGTAATTTACCGGAACACAACGTAACATCGGAAGTACTTGATAGGAGGTAGTAGACGAACATGGCATTTTATATATTCTGGAAGGAAGTAAAAGTATTATTTGTATTTAGTTAATTATTTAATGAAATACAATTATGATATTTCTTGATGGAATGATGCTTACTTTTGGTATTTTTTTAGTGGTTGCTGTTTCGACATATTATTATTTATTATGGTTAACATGGATTTTTTACGTGTAAGGCGGGTTTTTTTTCTTTTCTATGGACGTAGCGTACATATAACCCGATTTTAGAACTCGCGCGGATCTTTAACTTTAACTGATTCACGTGATCGAAACGGGTAGTATTTCGCGTCCTTTGGAATCGGGCAATGTCTTCTGTGCCTGTTTTATGTTGATAAATATACATTGTGTGTACAATAATACGGACCAGAACCAACCGAAGATTGGCTATTTATAAAGGTTTTTTGTTTAACAACTACTTTCGGTAATTATCTTAATGTTACCGTTACCGTCAAATTATGTTTTTGCTATCAAAAATAATAATAGTAATTAGCAATGCTGATCCATATCATGACGTCAAACAAAACAATAAGCTCTATTCGAAACAAAACAGCTTCACTACATTCGTGAACGGGGCCTGGGCTAAACAGTGGGAACTTAAGTAAATAAAGACTGCCAAACTAGTATAGGTGGTATCAGACATGTACAGGTACACACTTAACTAGTGAGAACCAATCGAAAAGGTATAATTACTCTTTGTTTAAACATTCAAAAACTATTCATGTATTTAACATCAACTGTATATATATATTACTTTTTACAAACAATTGACATCTTTTCAAGCTAAATTTATGAATATATATATTAAGCCACAGTTATTACAACTAATAAGTCTTCAGATCCGTTGTTTCATTGCAATTGTAGGTTGGCATGTGGTTACACTATATCACCAGGAGTGTTCTCGCTTCCACCAATTTTTGGAGAACAAAGAAAAGTATTGATAAAGGAAGACAATGGCAAACCAATTATATTTAGTTTCAAACTATTCATAACCCCACAGATCACATAGGTAAGTTCACTTACCTGTGTGATTCGTATATTTTCAGTTCATGTGGATTCTAATTTAATATTTTGGGTTTAAAATAAATACAACAATTAACAGACAATCTATTGTCTACGTTTTCCATACATGTGAAAATTGGGCAATCTATTAAATCAAGCCGTGAACTTGGTGTAGCCCACCGCCTATGTGGCAGGCGGACCAGACTAGGACATACGTGGCAATCTATAGACTTAGGTGGACAAAATGTTTTAACAAAAATCTCTCAAAAACGTAACACGTAATTATTAATCTTTATTAATCTTGAGGATATATATTCATCCCATCGAAACAAACTTTGTTCAAGTCAATTACGTAATTGACATCGACAAGAACTGTGGCATGCATCGCTGTACCTACCTGTAGCTACCTGTAGCTACCTGTACCTGTACCTACCTGTACCTACCTGTACCTACAAGTGCCTAAATGTACCTACCTGTACTTACCTGTACCTACCTGTACCCGTACAATTGGGTTATACAATCGCTGTACATACCTGTGTCCGTACAATCGGGTTATACAATCACTGTACCTACCTGTACCCGTACAATCTGGTGATACCATCGCTGTACCTACCTGTACTCGTACAATCGGGTTATACAATCGCTATTACTTTATATATTGTTTACTTTTTGATGAATTGAATATCTTTTATGTACCATTAAAAATATATTGCTTCTTTGCAATGATATTGAACTAAACCAGGACCCAAATGTAGCATAGAAATCTCACATCTTAATGTTAGATCTCTCAGAACAAAACTTGATATCATTGAAGCAGAACTACATGAAAGTGACATATTGTGTCTTACTGAAACACACCTTTCTCCAAATATAACTGATGCTTAAATAACACTTAACTCTCATTCCCATAACATTCACAGACTTGATAGAAAAGGGGAGGAGTAATTATTTATCACAAAGACACAGTACATACTGAAAGAAGAATTGATCTTGAGCATGAAGATATAGAACTGATATGGATTGAAGTATTATTCAATAAGCAAAACATATTATTAGGATGTATTTATAGACCTGAATCAAATGTTGAATATTGGGATAAATTAGACCATGTTCTAGATAATGCATGTAGCACATCACTTAACATCATAATAACTGGGGATATAAATGTAAATATGTTGGATATACCTACTAACCACCATTTAAAAGACTAATGGTAAAACATAACTTTACAAATCTAATTAATAAACCTACCAGGATAACACAAACGCCACTGCTATTGATATTTTATTCACTAATAATATTAGTCTTATAAAACATAATACAGTGAATACACCAATATGCAGTGACCACTCTGTTATTCATTTTACTTGTTCATATTCTGTATGTAAACAAAACCTACCAGAAAACTATACTAAACTATGACAATGCAGATTTTGATGAAATGCATAAAGCTCAACATGAAATAAATTGGGAAATACTAATAAATACACTTGACTCGAATGAGTTTAATACATTTTTAACAGATTCTATTAATAATCAAATAGAAGAATGTATACCATCCAAAATTATAACTGTTCGCCCTAATGATAAACCTTGGATGAGGAATATTATAAGGCAAAACATTAGACAGAGAAATAGATTGGGAAGCGTTAGGGTTAGGGTCACCGCGTGGTAATGTACCTCGACGACGGTATAGGAGGACACAATCAGGCTGGCAAAGCAGCGGAAGTAAGTAAGGATGTGAGGCATAGCTTAACGCAGTTTGGCTTCATCACAGCAGACGAAAAGTGTAGTTGGGAGCCATAACAAAATGCCACGTGGCTAGGCTACACGTGGTTTTTCGAGGAGGGCGTGGTCAGGAGATCACCATGGAAAGAATGACTAGGCTATTGACATGCCTAGACAAGGCCTTGACGTTGATTGGCAGAGGTAAGGTATTGTTCAAAGCCAGGTGGGTGGCAGGTATTGTTTGTCATATCAACTCAATGCAAGGTGTGTTTGGACGGCAGGTAAGGTTGATAACTCGGTGTTTGTACAACACTGTTTTGACAAAGGCAAACTGGAATGCGCCAGTATTGATGGGCTCGGAGCTTAGACATTGGAGGTCACATGCAGAAGGCATGAACTGCAAGGGCAGTGGGTTGAAGGAAAACGGTTGCGTCACGGGGACAAATAACGTTACGGTGTGTACGGATGCTTCCGACACGGGCTATGGTGGCTATATATATGCCGAAAACACTCTGGCTGAGAGTGAGTGTAACGGAGAGCCTTTGGTAGGCATTCCTGTTGCAGTATGATCGAGCAGATCGACAATGTGTGTTGGGTTCATGGGAGGCCTCGGAGGCAAAGCGTAGCTCTACTTGGGGAGAGTTAGAGGGGGCTAAACGGGTACTTCTATCGGTAAGGAGTATAGTAAAGGTGGAGAAGGTGAAGCTAGTAATGGATAGCAAAAATGCATGCAGTATTGTTCATACAGGGAGTAGAAAACAAGATTTGCAGGATATAGCATTAGCGATAAACGAGTTTTGCGGGACGGAGCAAGTGCTGGTGCAAACTCAATGGGTCCCTACGGAGTTGAATACGAGCGCAGATATTCTTAGATGTTCGGACAGCGATGACGGGGGATTCAGTCCTGGGTTTTTGAAATATGTGAGGCGCGTTGGGGTCCACATACAGTGGATAGATTTGCGTGTGATTACAACGCAAAATGCTTGC